CAAAAATAAAACGGAGCATTCTTCAATATAAGGCGAAAACGATAAAGAACAGTTACTATCCTGACACGGAATCCTTCTGCAAAGATTATTTCTTTCTACATGCGCCGAGTTATAAATCCTTTTGCATGGTGATAATACATAGTGCGAAAATGAAGCGACGCATTCCTCATTATGAGACGAAAATAATAAAGAACTATTGCTGTCAGGAAACTTCTTTTTATCCAACTTTCTTGACGCTGATACACCAAATGAAAACCATGTCGAAAGTAGATATAATATAATGTGGAGTTTATTGCAAAATATATTTTATATAAAAAGGAATATGATATATACAGTAAAGACTATATATATGATATATACAGTATATAAGTATATATATGATATATACAGTAAAGATATTACAATAATAAAATTTTTATTATTATGAAATTATTTTTTAACATAGCTTTGCCTATACTTTACATATTCTTTGAATATGTTCCTGCTCTTTTATTTATTGGTAACGTTACATCACTAGTAACGTATAAAAATGTGTACCACCAGACGTAAATCTTAGACCATCGATCTATCAAATGATAGCATCGGCGATTTATCGTGGATAAGTTCAATTTGTTTATGTCTGAACAGTCACTTATTTTCAAATGAAAAATGGCATTGGACGACGGGATGAGTGGTACGTATTGAATAAATCTTATAAATGTAATATTTTATATCAGAGTTCAGAATTGATTGTCCGTTTCGGCCGATTCTCGGGAGCTACGCTTTCTATCTTCCCCTTGACGCGCGGCGAGCCACGCAACCGACGGTCTTGGCTCCAAAGGGAAGATAGAAAGGATAGCTTTCGAGAATCGGCCGAAATGGGCAAACAATTCCGAGTTCTGTTTTATATAGCACAAGTTAGCCAATTTCTGTTTTGTAGATATTACAAAGGAAATGGAGGATACATTATTAGACTCCGACTCTGATGCAGGACAATCCAATCAGGCCGTTTGTCCCAGTGAAATTAAAAATGTGCTGCGAAGTCATTCGCTGCTACTGAGAAAACTTGGGAAACAAGTGAAGTTGCTTATGCAGCAGCAGCAGCAGCAGCAGCAGCAGCAGGAGTATCTCTTCCAAAGAGAAAATTTAATAAGTAAGTTGCGTAAAATCGCATACATACACGTATGCGTGCAGGTACATATATATATATTGTTGCGAGCGCGTCGCACCTGAAGTCCGCGGGTTGCGAGACGAGATCTTTGACAACGGTTGCTAAGAGTGTTTCGGCTGTTTGATTATAACAGCCGTGAGAGAGAGTCTCTCGACAGCTTGCAAACTGTCTGGATGTGCATTCCGAATCGAGAGTCTTATATCGCGCTGTTATTGCTTCATAATAAAGTTCCTTTTTCGTTTCGTATTCAAGTGTCTTATTCCTCTCCGAGTCCGCGAGTGTAACATTTTGGGGGCTCGTCCGGGATACGACGATCCGACGGACCGATATCTGAGACACAAACGCAGCGAGACGCGAGTGAGTGATTCAGTGCAACGCTGCAGGGAGTTTCCTTCGAAATGGCGACGGCACACTCCCCGGTGAGAACCCGCTCCCAGGCCGCAACGTCGATTCCGGCGGAGGGCACTTTGGAAGCCGTGCTGTTACAGCTACAGCAGTTGCGCGAGGAGCGGCGGCAGGAGAGTCGGGAGCAGCAGCGTTTCCGCAGCGAGATGGAGGCTCGTCTACAAGAGCGCGACGTAGCTCTGAGTTGCCTGGAGCAACGACTTTTACAGCTAAGTCCCTCCGAGAATGTTTCTTCGTGCGAGAGCGCGGGGGGCGCGATGCGTGAGTTACACGGGTCGCGTGCGGAGGTGAGGGCGAGTGGGGACGGGCGAACGGCTTCCGCGTTAAAACTAAAGCCGGACACTTTCGACGGGACGGCTCCGTGGCGCGAATATCTTTCTCAATTTTTATTAATCGCGAGTGCAAATCAATGGTCGGAAGCGGAAAGAGCGGTTGTTCTGGCTTCCTGTCTCCGAGGAAAAGCGCGTGCTTTACTCGATTTGTGTGACAATGGGAACGACACTCTCACATTTGCGGATCTTAGATCGAAATTGGAGTTGCGTTTCGGTGAGGGTGAACTTGCGCAGAACTTTTATTCTCAGTTCACTAATCGGAAACAGTGTTCGGGAGAAGATTTCGCGTCGTTAGGCGCGGATTTGGAGCGCTTGTCACGAAAAGCGTATCCTGAGTGCTCGCTTGAGGTGCGTGAGAAGATCGCTTGTTCTCAATTTATTGCCGCTTTATCTGATGGTTTTGTTAAACGTACTCTTCAAGTGGAGGGGATAAGTTCGCTTCGTGTGGCAATTGAGCGTGCGAAATTAATAAATCAAAGCAGTTTTTTTGAAGGAAAAGTAGTAGCGTCAAATTTTTGTGTCAATCGCAATATTGGCGGAGTTTCGAAACAAACGCAGGGCACAGAGGGAACCGGAAGGGTCTTTGTTAAACGTGAAAAGGGAAGGGAGTGGAAGGCCAAGGAATGTTGGCAATGTGGAAGTTCTTCACATTTTCGAGCGGAATGCCCGGCTTTAATTAATGAAAGAAAAAGGGAAAACTAAGTTTTGTCGAATGGAACGGGGCTATTTCGACAAAAAGAGTAAAATCCTCGATTAATTCTAGTTTAAAACGCGTTAAAAATAGAGATACTTTTTGTTTTAATGGATTATTAGATGGAAAATGTTGTAAATTTAAAATAGATACAGGTTCGGATGTTTCTATTGTAAATAAGAATTTTTTTGAAACGACGGAGAAATTTTGTCCAGTTGCTAACAATCGTTTAATTTATCCTTCAGGAGAAGTAGTTCCTGTTTATTATCAAGCAAAAATGAATGTTCAGTTAGGAAAAATTTTTGTAGATTTGTCCATGTTTGTTATTGACATGGAAGATGATTGTTTATTAGGAAATGATTTTTTATCTTTTACTAATTTAGAGTCTTGTTTTTATTCAGAGTTAGGGATTTCTCATTCGGAAATAATGCAAAAAAATTTTGCTTGCAAACGGATTATTTGGGAAAAAGAAATACCTGCATCTTTATTAGAATTGTTTAAACGAGATTCAGAACATTTGAATTTTGAACAGAAAGAAGAGTTTGCTAAAATGCTAGTTGAGTTTCAAGATGTTTTTTCAGAAGAAATTGTGGCCGGGAATTGTAATTTTTTAGAACATAAGATTGAATTAATTGAACCACGTCCTATTAAACAAGTTCCTCGACGAGTTCCTTTACATTTACGTGCCGAAGCGAATAGGGTTATTGAGGAAATGAAAAATAAAGGTGTTATTGAAGAATCTCAGAGTCCTTGGATTTCGCCGGCGGTTTTAGTAAAAAAAAAAGATAATTCTATTCGTTTTTGTGTAGATTTTCGAAAGCTTAATGCTGTAACAATAAAAGATTCTTTTCCTATTCCTCGTATTGATGACACTATTGATCAATTATCAGG